CTGTGCATGCGCAGAACCTAACACCTTACGCTTGCAGATTTTGGTAAGAAGATATTAACAAAAGTTGTTCGTCTTGATGAGGGTCTTGATTACATTTTGTAAACCATCGATCTCACCCGTCGCACACCATTAAATATCCTTTACTATCCCTACAAATCCTTTATAATTCAGACTCTGCGGAGGAGAGTGGCATTTGCAGCATTCTGACACACACATAATCAGAAAACCCAGAATTCCGGGCGCCAGAGTATGCCTGTTCGCAGGTAGTGCTGTGAATAATATAGTTAACAACAAAAGTCATGACCAAAGACACCGAAAACGGATCAAAATTATATTTTAAAACACTTAAAATGTAGAAAAATTGGGAATCGACTCGCATTACCTCAATCCCATTCCCATTTTTGAGGACTTATTTCCCATTCCCAGTGGCCAAATCCCATTTTCCCAGTCTAAAATTAGATCAATCCCAGTTCCCATTTTACCCCTTCAGGACCCTCTACAAAACGTTCATGATAATTATGCATACGCAGGTATTTTATTGAAGTAAAATTCATCAACTTAAGTTCTAAAGGGAGTTAATTTTCAATAGTTTTAGACCCAATTCTCAACGGTGGAAATACGCGATTTCGACAAACAATTTTTATCGGACTCGTATTTGCTCATTCTTTCTCCATATTGGATGAAAAACATGTCATTCAATAGCCAAAAGCCTGATCTTTGTTATTATACAAAATTACGTTGATACACCGAGTAATTAACGCACATACAATGGCATGCTAAATTTGGATTTCGTTTTTTAGACACCCTGTACATAAAAGCGAAAAGAAATAGGACGTTAGTGTCAAAGCAATTAGCTGATAAAAGATTGTAAAAGATGTCCTAATGTGTTCAGGAGAGCGTTCAATTGGGCTTCAACATTGCTCTCTTCGACTGACTCGTCAAAAATCGCCTTTATAATTGGTATATAAATGAAGAATTGCATTTATGTTAAAGTGCCTATGACACGAAATTTCACCCCAAATGTTTATGATTGCATTGTAAAGATAACTTAAAATGACTTAATAATTTCTTTTATAGAATTTTGATAACTTGCTTCCTTTGCAAGATATTCAACTTTGTTTCATATGCAAATATCACCGGTG